TAGCTGTCCAAATTTTCCTGAACTGCAAGTAGAAGCGATTTAGCATCACGGCAGCTGACATGTAGTTGACACTTGGTTTAGTTGTGCAGAAAAAGCTGCCATGTGGACAGAATTCAGCCCTGTTTGTGGGAACCAGGTCTGGAAAGAACACCACAAACTGGTTACAAAAATACAGTTGTTGTACTTGTATCGTGGTCTACCCAAGAGGGGCCGTAACAATTCTCATCCTGCCCCAGAACAAAGAGTGGGTGGGGTTAGCGTTCCAGAGTCCTAGTTAATAGCAAAAACTGGGTGTGCCTGGAGCTGCTGAAGAGGTTTTGCCAACAGACAAAACAGAGATGTAAAAAGCTGAAGTATTTCTGAACTGAAAAGATGCTGAGTTCTGTATATCTGAACATACCGGCTTTTATTCCTCTGCATTTGACTTGCTGTGAAATGTTAAAACAGCATAAAATGCTCTCCCTCCCTCATGATATGACATTTCCAAGCTAGTGATACTTTCTCTTAAGAGGTTTGACTTATTTGTGTAATTAACTCTCTTGCAAAAGGAGGAAATAATTCATCATTTCATTCCTACAAACGAGGTACAGATTTCAAATCAGAAATTGAAATTTGTTTAAAAAAAACAAGGATGCTTCCTGCAAGAAATGGTGCATGATTGGGGGGAGAGGGAGTAGGGGATGGCAGGGGGCATAAACACAAATGTCCTCATATTTGGCATTTGTGTGGAGGTTTGCCTGGGTGCAGTTATCAACCAGTAGCATAACTAGAGGTGGATGAGAGGGCCCTGGGTACCAAGTTAGAAGGGGCACCAGAATCACCCTCCATTTCCATGTCCTTGCCCCTGCTTTAAGAGCAACAGGTGGGGTGGGCAGAGCACACACAACAGTAGCTCACCCAGGACAGTGAAGGAGTCCTGGCATGGGTCCCTCTGCCTGCCGCCTCCTGAACACAGCCCTTGCCCCTGCTCTCAGAACCACATAGCCATCCTGCTCTCCTGCAAGTGTTGCCCTAGGTGCCAACTCTGTTATGCCACTGTTATGAACATTTAGCAGGACTGTCTTATATCAGTCCATTAAGTTATTGTAATTTCCATTAGCTATCCTAGACAGTGAAAAATGTTTTCCTGTCAGGAAAGCCAAGCTAATATTATCTTCTTTCAACAAAAATAAGCAATTTGCTAAATTTGTTTGGAAGATCTATGGAACAAACATAGCCTCTGATCCTCCAAACACTTCAATAAGGAAAGGAATGTTGTCATAGCTGTGATGGTCCGGGCATTGTCCGAGAGGCAGTGAGTTTTTTGTGATAACTTTTATTGGATCAACTGTATAGTTGGGGAGAACTGCTGGGCAAGCTTTTGGGCATCAAAACCTTGTCCAACAGCTCTCCCAGTCATGCAGTTGGTCCAGTAAAAGAGATAACAAAATATCCTTGCCCCTCAAATCAGGAAACTTGCTCATAGACTTTAGTATTATCTGTTATCCAAGAACTATCACTGAAAGCAATAGTGAGATGGCTTGTAAATGGAGAATTTCTTTATGGTTTTGATGTTGACCATTTTGATGTTCCATTGAAAGGGCAACTATGCAAGGGAAATTAAGTCCCGTAGTATCAAAACCCTTTCTTCAAGTTTTGTTCTTTACGGTTTAAATGCTTGAATGTGAAGTACTAACACTCAGTACTCTAAACCACCAGTAATCTTCACATTTCCTTTAAAACTGTGCCTTTCTGAGTTTGCCAGGCAAGAATTGACCTCATAGAAAAACTCGTATAAAAACATACTTGCAATTCTTTCTGCGAGCAAGCAATTGAAAATATAAATAAAATTGTAACATTTGACAAATATGAATACTTTATCAAACCAGCATGTGTATATAAGCACTTAATTATCACAAAGTACCAGTGATACCTATTTCCCTCAGAATGAGTTCTTGGTATGGCATGTTGGAACAGATAATTATGTTACATAAATGGATTATTGAGCATAGTTCACTTGTTTGTTTTATGTTAGAATGGCCAGACAGCTACATACTTCATAATAGATTAAAAGGAGAAAATCAAACAAGCGTGTTTCATGCAGCTAACCAAGCGTTCAGCCACATCATTCATTGTATTGTTCAACTTCTATAAAGCATGGAGACTATTAAAAGCTGAGGTTGCTACTCATGTTACTGGTTTGAGAACATACAAAATAAAGACTCTTTTCATCCCAAACCCACACCTTGCTTTTGTTCCTGGAGCCTAGAAAATTGGTTTGTGAGAGTGATGAGAGAGATTATAATTCTCAGAACAATCTTTTACCTTGTAATTATTTCATAACCACAGTGTTGGGATTACTTTGTGCAAAGAACGCTAGGAAGAAACATTTGGGTGTGGTTTTGTTATTGATGGTTTTCCTCCTTAAGCTTTGCTAAAAATATTAAGAGGGAATGGAAATTTAGTGGGTCAGTCAGAAAAAGTGATAAAGTATTCCAGGTACTCCCCAACAGCCCAAGCACCCTGGGTAACAAAGCCAGATTTGTTGGTTATGTGCCTTTATCCTAACACATGCCTTTATCCTAAATTAGGTACATCAGTTGTTTAGTCTCTAGGAATGCAGGAGTCTTCTGCAAATTAAAGTGTCCAAGTACTCCAAGACCAGCATTTGATATTCAGATTAGCTTCTCAGCTTTTAGCCTCATCTGTATCCATGATGGAATTTGTCATCTGGAAGAAATGCCCTGGTATATCTACTGGGAATCCAGTGAATCAGTGCAGAGAGGTTACTGTACAAGGAAAGTATGTTCCTCTTAA